CCAAGAAAAATTCCAACTTTCTCGAGGAGTTTCGCACGAGAGTTTCTAAACGAAGAAAAGTTGATGACGTTAATAAACGAGGAACTTGAACTCCGACGAGGATCGACGTGTGTGGCAAAGCAGCAGCTGGTAGCAAAACGTGCTGGCAAATTCACGAATATCCGACGACGACGGCGAAGGTGAGAGGCAGAGAAAGGGAGGGATGCGTTGTCCTCTTGCGGACCGCATTAGTTAGCACCGAGTTCGCGAGGCGACAAAACACTTAGCGCCACGGCGCTAAATCGCTTTTAGCTCGCTCATTATCGTCCCGTCCCCTTTCGTTTCGTCTCGTCCTGTCTCGTCTCGTCTCGTCTCGTCTCGTCTCGTCTCGTCTCGTCTCGTCTCGTCTCGTCTTACTTTGTCGTCGTGTCACGAACCTACGTTCGTTCTCTGGACGGAGAATGGATCTGAACGCGAAACGATTCGACGCACGAGTCTAGACCAGAGGCGAATGATAGGGGATACCTTGAGACCACCTTGGTCGACAACGTGTCTTATTAAGCGGAAACCGTTTCCCCTTTACTTCCATGTCGAAAGGTTGATATTTAAACGCGGTTTGTAAGCACGTCGATCGAGGTGTTCGATGGCTTGTTCGCGTAAACGTCGACTCGTTATCGCGTCGGCGAATCGCGGGCTCCAGACCGCCTTCGCGACCAGCCACAAAAATCGCTGGTTCTCGGTGAAACGAAAATAGAACGCGGTAATTATCGTGGACGAAACGTTGCGGGAACGGAGACCGAATGATCGCGAGACGCGGCTCGAGTTTATTAACGCGCCAAGGTGAGCATCCTCGTTAGAGCCGGGGAACGTCCACCGCGAAAAGAATGTTTTCGAGGTAATCCAATATAGGTATCTGCAGAAACACGTGTATGCATGTAGGTATCTCGGATCGAAAGCGAATTTTTTTTTTTTTTTTCTTTTTTTCGAAGACTAAATCGTCGAATTTCGATTACTTCGGAGAGGCACGCGTTCGGGAAAATTGGTGGAAAGGAAGAAGGGTTCGTTCACCCGTCCCGAGGGGGGCTTCGAAATCTGGACGGTGGAATAAAATCGTCCCGCAGCCGGCTCCGCCTCTCGATGGTCGGAGAAGAAAGAGCAATTTGTTGATTCGAGGAGAAGAAGGAGGCCGTTTTTAGAGAGCCGTTTCCCGTCGTAGCCGAGTAAGACTCTACGGAATCCCGGTGAACGAAGAAAACCACTCTCTTAATTTGGTCGAGACAGGCGAGCAGCGCTCGGTATCGAGCGTAGGATCCGGAGGATCGTAGACAGCGCGCTGGTGGATCCTCCGGCTGCATCTGGCTGCCTCTCGCTGCCTCTGGATACCCGAAGGAACGAACGAGAACGCAAGAAACGTGGCAGCACAATAAATTCCTTCCTCCTTTCCTTTCCCCTGGTAGCTCTTTCCACGGGTTTTTGACGCCCGTGTACCTCTTATCGCGACACGCGGCACCCCTCAATTAAGAGGTGCTGCTCGTCCACGAATGTTCTACCAGTCCAACTTCGGATCTCCTCTGGACTCGGACCACACAGCAGGAGCTACCTGCGAGGCTAACCTATCTGCCAGATCGCGCCCATAAAAATTAAACGTCGCCAGATAAATAAACGTCAATCGAGAATTAAGATAGGCGCCGCCGCCGGTAGCGTGCCTTCCTCCTCGCTTTTTCTCTCTGTGCTGCGCTCGCCCGTTAGGAATTTTTCCTCCTCTCTCGACAGGATAAACAGGATAAAACCGACCTCCGCTCGATACGCTCTCACGAAATTTCGTTCTCTCTCCCTCTTTCTATCCGCTATACTGATTCACCCTGCTTCGATCACGACCTCCCACTACGAGATCCCTCGCCGCGTTTCACGCCAAAGTTCTGCGGACGCGTCTCAATCACGCGAGATACTAACGTAGGAGGCGCTATTGCTCGATTCATTTAGGCCTCTACTCTTGCAACGGAGTTGGAGCTTCTTCTCTAACGCGCGGTATTTCGATAGGAATGCGTTTGTCATGTGAGTATTCGAGTCAAGGATACTTCGAACGGGGAACACGCACCGCTGTCATCTACGTTCGAAATCTTGGGTGAAAGGACAAAGTACGCGATCACGCCAGATTCCTCTTCGACTCTTGTCATCGTACGTTATGCCCTTTCGCCGATCGATCGATCGACCGAAAGAACAACGAGTCTAATTTACGCAGAATCGAGAAAGCGAATATAACCCTTTCGCCGATCGATCGATCGATCGACCGAAAGAACAACGAGTCTAATTTACGCAGAATCGAGAAAGCGAATATAAAAGCGCGGGCCAGTGAAACGACTTCCCCGGGGCGAGCTGTCTTCACCCGGGGTTGCAGATAAATGACCACGCCGAGGATTGTCGCTCGAAACGACCGGTTAACACATCGCCGCCCCTGTCATCGATCCGCACCGTCCAATAATGCAGCCCGGCCAGCCGGGGATTTATGTACCTGCCTTTTCCGGGCACAGACGCCCCCTCCGCTTTTCGGTAGAAGAAAAGGAAAAAAAAAAAGAAGCGAGGGAAAACGGGAGCAGCTACCTCTACCAGCACGGCTTGTAACCTTTTGCTCCGGAATTGTAACCGGTGCCACCAGTAATCACAACGTTTCGCGAACTTGGTGCAAAAACTCGGCTCCAGCGAAAAGCTTGTTAATTGTTTACGGTGTAGTCGCCGAGAGGAAGTTTACGATTGCTCGAGGAGGCATAATGTAATCAGACTTTGTCGTCTTTACGACGCGGTATCGCTTTTACGGGATGAGGCAGGCTCGTAAGTGGCAGGTGGAACGCAAATTAGGTCCTCGTCGGTCCACTACGTGTATGCCGGATCATCGCAGTTCTTGATTGCTTTCAACCACAGTCGTTCCTCCCGTGTTATTAATACACTGTAAACACTTCATTTTCGTACGTTCTTCTACAAAGAATTCTCTTCCGTAATTTCGTATTCCTACGTTACCTTCCATTCTTCGCTAATTTCCCGCTTGAAACCGCGTAGGTCCCTTTTTGTTTTTCTTCTTTAAAGACGAAAAGTGGCGTTCGGACGAGTCTCCGTGTGTGGTATCGAAACACGATTTTCTCGAATTCCGTAGAGCGAAGGCAGGAGTAGGTATCGCATGTAGCAAATATCGTCGGACAGAGAAAGAGTTAATTAACCCGTAACTCGGTTCGAGGATCGAACGGAGTATAAAACGGCGCACCGTATCTCTGGAATCTCGGAGGGAGCGAACCATCCGATTGTCAGGCATCGCCGACAGTGTCGGATATAATTCGATCATCGATCGTCCACAGCCTGGAATCCACGCGTCCCGATATTCGTACGTGTAGTCTGGCCGACGAATCGCATCGGGTCCGCTACGAATCACGATCGATACGATCGACCGTGTAATCTTTCGATCGTAGGGGAAAGGGTGGAAGGGAGAGAGAAAGAGAGAGACGAGTCCCCGAGGACGGTCTCCCTGGCAATGAAGCCTTTAATTAAGGGAACATATTGCCACTAATATCCGACGGACAGTGTCAATCTGTCAGGCTACCAAAAGGTACCGATCTGATAGCGGAGCCTAGAGAGCAGTCCGGCCTATTGGACACGCTGTCTTCGATTTAGTTGTCGTGCTCGATCACCCGGAATTAATACATCGGACGGGTAACTAAGCGAGCCACGCGGACAGGTTCGCTCTCCTCCCGCCTCCTCCTCGTCCTCCACCCTCTCACGAATGCTCGCGCCAACTGAACCGCGTGAGAATTTTTCTCCGGGACACGACCCTGCTGTCCTAGGGTACCTGTACACCGAAATGCCTCGCGCGTCTTCGCGATATTACAGCGGCGAGGAGAATTTTTCGTCGTGAAATGAGCCGCGTCGCGTCGATTGAAAGGAGGGGGGAGGGAAGAGTTACGAAACGAAAGCCTTGTACGCGAATCGAGAGAACAAAAAGCGCGAGCGTTTACGGCGACAACTCGCGTAAACAATTTCTGTGATTAATGGGGCCGAGTGTTGCGCAACGGAGCGGAGGAAAGAAGAAAAAGAACCGCTCGTCCAGACCGCTTTCCCTCGCCGCGGGATCGCCTCATCGAGGTTAATTTGAAAATAATAAGGAGTAAGTTTGATCGAGCATCGATACGATTCGCCGCGGAATAGAGTGGTTAACGCCGATCCTCTTCCGGCGGTGTACACATTCGGTTCGGTGGCATTTAATCAGCGACGACGAATCGAGAGCTCGGATTCTGAAAGGGAGCGTGTAATCGACATCCGGCACGCCTAAATCTCCCAATCGAAAACGCCCCGTAATCTACCCCTACCGCATTCGTCCGTTTCCTACCACTTACCTCGCAGCAGAATCTTCCTCAGGGACCTTCTGATCGTCGTACAGTTCCATCTGCGATTCCGAAATTGATACTGACACTCCCTGGTCCCAACTTGTATACCCCTAGCGATCTCCTTCAACAGCGAGGGTTCCTTGCGACAGATGTCCGCCATCTTGCCCTTCAGTCTCCTGGTCTTTTTGCAGATGAGCATCGGGTCCATCACCACCTGATTTCCAACGGTCCTACGGAGACGAGAGTAAAGAGGAAACGGTGGATGGTTAATACGGAGTGAAGTTTTTCGAAGGGAGAAATTCTGCGTGTGCGCGTGTGCGTGCGTGTTGTACCCAGAGGACAAGATGGCTGCGCTACCGGTGCAGCGTACCAAAAGCACGAAGAGATCGAAGCCATTAGGATAATTAAATCTCCGCTGAGCCATTGTGTACTGATTGTGGCGAGCATGTTGGACGAGACACGGTCTACGGGGACGAGTAAGGAACACAAGCCAGAAACGGAGAGAACGAACGAGAGAAAGAAATGTCGGGACGGCGGCAAAAAGAGGAGCGAAACGAAGGGAACCGCGAGTTCTCTCCTGCGGGACCGGAAAGAAGAGGAGCAAGAACGGCGGAC